TTTATAATGTAGTGAATCGATAACTTGGTTTATGCTGGTTCTCTATAGTGTTACGTTCTCAATTCTCTCTCATTTTCAAGTAGTTCTGCAATGATTATCTAAAGCTGTGATACTTGATGCAGTGACTTGCGTTAATTTCAACCCTCTGGATGATAATTACTTCATCAGCGGTTCAATAGATGGAAAAGTTCGCATCTGGGAAGTTATTCGTTGTCTGGTTGTTGATTATATTGATGTTCGTGAGATAGTCACTGCTGTATCTTATCGTCCTGATGGAAAGGTCTGTTGGAATTTTTTTCTTGACAATGAAAAATTAAGCATGAAACAAATTGGTTTTGTTTATATGACTTTGTTATTTGATATTTGCAGGGAGGAATCGTTGGTTTTGTGACTGGAAACTGCTGTTTTTATAACATCATAGGTATGAAGACTTAGTGGTGAAATTTTCTTAATAGCATGCTACTATGGCGCTTCTAATTAAAACCAGATTTGTGAAGCATAATAGTAAATTGGGAAGTCCTGATAATTAAATGCTTTAGTATCTCCTTATCTTCCCTGCAAATTCTGTTAACATGAAATGATTTTCTTGATATGTTATTACATGATATATATATGTTTTTATTTTTATTTTTAGTCTGGCTTGATATTTCAAAATGTCTAATGTTAGATCATTATATGCAACTTTCTGATTTAGTGTCTGAGCTCTTAGCATCCTTCTCTTGCAAGCCAATTTTGTACAGGCGAGATCTACCCATGGGCTGCTAAGGCTTGTGTTATTGTTTTTTCTTATTCTATCTGAGTAGTTCATGATCATGGTTTCAATTTTTTCAGATAATCATCTGGAGTTGGATGCTCCGATAAGCATACAGGGCAAGAAGAAGTCACCTGGAAAACGGATAACTGGCTTTCAGGTGGTTATGGACAATTGGTTATGTTATTTCTTCCATTTTCACTTCTTTACTTTACTGCAGTATACTAATATAATATGATTCCTCAGTTTTCTCCAAGCAACCCAAGCCAAGTTATGGTGACTTCTGCTGATTCAGTAGTCCGTGTAATTTATGGGGTTGATGTCGTCTGCAAATTTAGGGGTATGTGTCATCTCTTCTTCTTTTATAAAGTTATTGTTATTCCCCACCCCCAAGTCTCCTTCAATTCTATCATTTGATTGTTTTTATCAATTCTCATTAGGTCTTCGAAATGGTGGAAACCATATGTTAGCATCTTTTACCTCAGACGGAACGCACATCGTCTCAGCAAGCGAGGATTCAAATGTTCACATCTGGAACTATAATAGCCAGGACATGACCTCTTCACGACCGAGGAACATATGGTCTTGTGAGAGTTTTGTGTCCCACAACTCAATGATTGCTATACCTTGGAATGGTGAGAACAGCATTCCAGGAACACTTCCATCCCCTAGATTCACTGGGGACATGCAGGGAAGTAGCCTTGATAATCAGCCGAAGCATCTCAGTTTCGATGAGAAAGTAGAACAGAAAATGCACCTCTCTTCACCCGATTGTTTCTCTTTGGGTCGTGGGTTTTTTTTGGAGGCCTTGCAAAAGGGCACTGCAACTTGGCCTGAGGAGAAACTTGTAAATTCAAGTCCGGTGGCCGTCTCCCCAACAATGTGTAGATCCGACTACAAATTTTTGAAGAGTGCTTGTCAGAGCATGTCTGGTCCTAATTTGTGGGGCCTTGTGATCGTCACTGCCGGCTGGGACGGACGTATTAGAACCTACCACAATTACGGTACACCTATTCGTCGTTAAAATTGCCAAAGACGGCATTTTTTGGACAGTGATTATGCATCCTTGCAATCACCGCTGGTATTGGTCGGTCTTGGTTAAATAATTCTTGGTGCTTGTACAATGCAGTATCATTGACAGTTTGCCTAGTGTGCACCCTTGAAGATTACCAAATGTATTATAGTCCAGTCAGGTCATGCCAGGTGGCAACAGTTATCCAATTCACCTGCAGTCCCACCAGGTGTCCACAAGCGGCTGGTGGAATTGCTTTTAAGTTTTGTATTGGATCATCTTATACAAGTAAAATTTATATGATTCTTTAATTTGTTGGTTTTTCAGCGCAGAAATTATACTGAGTTTTATGTGGCTGGCAGTTAATCCCCTAGATTAGGAGATGTGTATAAAATATATTGACAAGTGTGTATAATACAGGTGCCTGTGGGGCATCTTCTGTTCTGAAATCTTTGCACTCAGAAATATTATTGTATGTCTTCTTGACATTTCATTAATGAAATTAAATTTTGGGTGGTTTGGGTGGTTGCTCTTCAGTCTCAGCTAAATGCTCTCCCTTCAACTTCCTTCTCTTTGCAGTAGAATCTGTGGCTTTTATGGGTGATGGTGCGCTGTGATTGATAGCGCTCTACTGTACTAAGAAAGTTAAGCCCTCATTAATTACGATGGGGGAAACAGAGGCTTCAGAGAGACTTAATTGAATATCAGAATATCAGAACTGTGAATAATTATGAGAAATGGGGATGAGCTGCTATATCAGTACGTGATGGTGCGCTGTGATTGATAGCGCTCTACTGTACTAAGAAAGATAAGCCCTCATTAATTACGATGGGGGAAACAGAGGCTTCAGAAAGACTTAATTGAATATCAGAATATCAGAACTGTGAATAATTATGAGAAATGGGGATGAGCTGCTATATCAGTACGTTAGGAGGTTGAGAGAGCAATTTTTAAAGCTCATAGCTAAGGGGTGGGAGGACTATAGACCAAGCTAGCATCTCTTATTGATGAAATTTCGAGCTTTTAGGTCGGCAAAAAATGCTTTTAGAATGGTTAAAAGCGGTTTCAATATAGGCTAAAAGTGTTTTCAGATAACTCAAAGCGTTTGCATTAGATGCGATTTGAGTAGATTAATTGCCATGCACATCATAATTTTTATTTAGAAAGTTAAAAGAAGGTATCTTGCATCCATTAAGAAGAATGAAAGAAAGGGAAAAGTGTGTTGAAATGTGATCTTAGGACAATGAAAGAGCATAAATATGGGGTGGAATGTAGGGCACCACATGCTGCAACGGTTATGATCTGCTACTAACTACTTAGATATGCCTGCAAGTGAGAATGATGTGGTATTCAATGAGTAGCAGTCTGGTTTGGTGAGAGGTTAGAGATGGGTGTATTTCTATGTTTAAATAGTGTTTGAGTTTTTTTATAAATACATATCTATGATTGGGTTTATTTATAAATTTGTAAATAATTTAATTATTTGAAATATTTGAAATATTTTATATGTTGTGCCCTATATATTTGAAGTTTATATTTATAAATAATTTAATTATTTATTTATCATGATTATTTACTCAAATGGTCCTTAAACTTATACTCGAGTTGCATTTTGGTTTCTCAACTAAATTATTCGTTCATATAGTACACAAACTCTTTATTATTCATCGAATTAGTCCTACCTTGACATTTTTTGTCAAATTAAATCATGTGAGGAGCTCATGCTGCATTTTTAGGGTTAAATAGGACTTTTGATAGCTAAAAAAATAAAAATAAGTTTTTTAGAGAAAAAACAAAACAAAAAAACCTGCAGCGCCATCTCTCCTCCCCTTGGTCTCCCCCTTTCCCTCTCTCCCCTCTGCTCTATCTCCCTCTATACTCTCTGTTCTCTCTTCTCCACTTTCCCTCTGTTCTAGAGAAGGGCTCCATCCTCACCGCTTCTTCACAGCCTTTATCATCACCAGCAATCCTTACGTCACCGTCTGCCTCGTCGGAGCCACCGTCGCTCGCACGCGGGTCATTTTTAACTTTGTTGTTGTTTTGTCGGGTGGGTTGCAGATATTAGACCAGACATGACTTCCTCCAATCAAGCCTCCATTACTCACCCTCGATCAAAGCCACACGGATCAGTTGACTCTCCAGCAATTAGCAGATCCTCCCTCTTCAATCTTGATTCATTTTCAACAATCAACTTCTTCCATGTTTCACTTTTTACCATATAACTCTTACAGCAGAGATGGACGTGGGGGAGGGTTCTAGTGGGTTTTTATTTTCATTAATTTTTTATTTTTTGGTTTTTTTTTACCACTGGGCATTTCAGTTTTTAGTTTTCTGATTTTTTCAGCATTTTATATAGATTTTAATTAATTAATTAATATTTTAGTATAAATTGACGATTTTAATCCTCTAATTAATGGTAATATTGACATATTATTACAGTAGGACCAATAGGCCGATTAATAAAGAATTAATAAATAATTTAAATAAATAATTTAAATAAAAGACCAAAATACAACTCGAGAATAAGTTTTGGTAATATTGACATATTATTACAGTAAGACCAATAGGCCGATTAATAAAGAATTAATAAATTATTTAAATAAATAATTTAATTAAAAGACCAAAATACAACTCACGAATAAGTTTGACGGTGAACCCTATTTATCATGAAGCAAATCCTCTTTGGTGTAAGGATGTGCATGTCAATGGCATGGACCCACCCACTGCATGTCTGGAAAGAAACGAGGGCAAACGAAAAATGCATAACTTATGTGACAAGCTTTTCTTTTTAAATGGTGACAAAATTTCATGAGGAGCACATGTAACACATCTTCTAAGAATTAAATGTGAATGAAATACATGACAAATGTGATTCATATCATAGGATTGAATAAAGCGATAATGAAAGTCTAGTATAGTATGTACCCTATGTGACGTATAAGTTTTGATTGCAAAGAAAAATATAATAAAAAATGACCTAAGTTAATATTTACATGTACAAATAATTCATTAATCACGCGGTGAGAGATGCATAGATACGAAAATAGAGAATTCGTTACATGTAAATTATTCTCCGATTAGTGAGGAAAATTATTAAAAAAAGTTAGGTTAACAGTTGGAATCCCTTTCTTTTAAACCCAGCTTTATATAAATAAGAAAGAAAAATGTTGAAAATTCACTTGTGGCGTTTCTAGAATTAATGTTCACAATCTCACAATAATGCTCATGGTATAAAATCTAAAGAAGGTGGTGTGGTGCTCTGTTGAGAGTCTTGGTTAGACTGAAGCATAGAGTCTTTGTCCTCCATAAAATGGGCAGAGCACCCTGTTGTTCAAAGGTGGGTCTGCATAGAGGTTCATGGACTGCCAGAGAAGACGCATTGCTCATTCAGTACATCCAGTCCCATGGTGAAGGCCATTGGAGTTCTTTGCCTATGAAAGCTGGTAAGAAATTAATTAACTTAGCCTAACAGCTTCTTTGTTCCTTCTTTCTTTCTGTTTTGGTCATATAAATTGTGTTGTAACCATTGGTATTTTGCTTATTTTTTTTGTTCTTCTTTAAATTTTTGGTCTGGAAAATGAAGGGCTTCTTCGATGTGGGAAGAGCTGCAGGCTAAGATGGATGAACTATCTGCGGCCTGATATAAAGCGAGGCAACATAACTCCTGAGGAGGATGACCTAATTGTGAGGCTTCATGCCCTTCTCGGCAACCGCTGGTCTCTCATTGCTGGAAGGCTTCCTGGTCGAACTGACAATGAGATCAAGAATTACTGGAACACCCACATCGCCAAAAGACTCAGAATCCCAAAAACCAGCACTCAAGAAATTACACCAAAACCAAAGTCAAAATGTGTCCAAGCTGAGGAGGCCAAGAAAAGTGACGATGACCAAGAAAATATTGGTGCAACAACAAAAAGGACCAAAGTTCATCTCCCAAAGCCTACTAGGGTGTCTCCAGTTAAAACCCCAGTTGGGTCTTTTTGTGATGGAGAGGGAGATCATGAACAAGAAGTTGGGTTTCATGATGCAGAAGTTCCTAATTATTTTCATGTGTCTTGGCTTGATGATATGAAGAAGAAAGACGATGGTTGTTTTGGGGAGGGCTTGGTTTGTGGTGAGAATGTTGAAGATTGTTACGATTTTGTTCAAGTGTTTGACAGTGCCAGGAGTCAGAATTCTGAAGAAGCTGCTGCAGCTGCAGAAAGAGTTGCTATGACATGGAAAATCTGTGAGGAATATGAGCAGGATCTCAAGGCAGATCAAGATCATGGTCAATTGGAGTCTTTTGTTGATTCCTTGCTGATTTGAATGTTTCCAAAAATTAGAAAAGAAAAATTGTAGGATATTATCAGTATGTATCAGAGTTGGTTTTTCAATTTCATTTGAATTGTAGTGTTTCTTAGTCTTGAATATTGACTGAAGCTAGCTTAGCATTTTGGGTAGATTTCAATTTCATTTGCCAAAAAGGCAGAGTTGCCTTTCTGTTACAAATTTCTTTGTAGGTTTGCCCAATAATTTGATCCTACAAACAGCTAACTAGGTTGAAATAATTTGGCTGCATGCACAAGTCCAAAAGGCTTCAAAATGAGTCGTATCATAATTGAATAAGAGGGCAATTTCGGAGGAGACCTAGGGGTGTAGGTTTCCCTAAAAAAACAGAGGCAACTAGTGTGAGCAATTTTCACAAGGATCCCATAATTGAATAGCGATTTGGAGGCTTTTTGTGTAGTCTACGTGCTATGCTGCATTGTCTGTGAATGGCAAAAGAAATGAAATAATTGAGCTAAATGATGGCATGATTTGCTGAAAATAGGACATGATAATTAACTCTTGGAAATAAGAACATGTTGCTCTCTTTGTTGCACAATTTTTTTATTGTACAAGCGATAGTTTAAACTACAAGAGATAAGGATTTTTCACACACACGCACAATTAAGATACCATAGGAGTTCCAACATGAGACCTCTACTCTACAAAACAAGATCCTTTTCCACTGAGCTAGACCCCATTAGCCCTTGTCGATTTTAATTTTACCACCCTTTTACATTGTACAAATAGCGGAGCTGTTTTGCATCGTCCATTTATTTTTAAAGAATTATTTACTTTGTAACGTGTACAACGTGTGAAAAATAAAATAAAATCTTACAAGTTTTCTGGGTTTTTATTTTTAATCATTTGTTTGACTTGGTAGTTGGTACCACCATCGCATGATACGATTAACTTAATAGCAATACCCATTTAACTTACCAAAGCGACTTGATGGATACAGCTTAAAGTAGTATTTGTTTCCTTGTCCCATTTCAATGGCTTTATAGCTTTTCTCAAAACTGCTCCACATTTATTTTGGATTGTTACTGAAATCGAATCTAATTGGGAGGTTAATCAATTGCAAATTTGCAATTAGTCTATGCCATGCTATCCACATGGCTTTTGCCTTTGTTAAGCTGTTAATAAATTGGGTTCCCAGATTGATTTAAAGTTTAGCTCAAAATAAACAAATGAATGGTGGTCCTGGAGCAATGAAACCTCAAAGTTGAAATTATTGCAACTTTGCTAGAATTTAAAATTTGCAACACTAGAAATTATTGCAACAAATGAATGGTGATCCAACCCCGTCATTGAGAAGAACAAATTAAAGGCTCATTGAACATAACAACATAGTTTCGTATACATAGTGGTTACAGCGCGAAGAGGTACAGATATTTATCTTCAGAAGGGCCATAAGTCCCCCCAGATAGACTTTCGGGCCTGTTGATGTAGTGCAGGGTTCTTACTCTTTGTCACAACCACCCGCTGAAGCTCGCCTTCCGAACCATCCCGTTTGGTTGATCGACAAACATCCATTGTAACCTGCTTGCCCCTTCGTACAGGCATATAGATAATCCTGCCCCAACCACCCCCAAGATCAGCATGACCTGTTTCATCTTCCTCCTCTTCGTCATTTTCATTAGCAACATCAGTTTCCATAACATCAGAATCATAGTTAACTGGATCCGGTTCTTCAAATGGAATGAGGTCAGCTTGCTGCGAGCTATTTAGCTCCTCTGTCCAGGTCAAACACAAAACCTTAGAATGAAGAAATATGAGTTTACAAATTGCCAGAATGTTAGTAATTAATGCATGGAATCACATAGACAAGTTCATTTTGGGGCTCTTGAATATTTATTCGGAAAAGGATACTCACGTAACTTGTAAGACTTACCCAGGTCAATTTCAAGATCTTCAGGGCTCCGTTTAGCCTGTTGCTCCTTCAAAGTCTCAAAATTCAGACCATCAAGAGGCCAAGATTCCCTGTTCAGGATTAACAACAGCAAAATCATGAGACAAAAGCATTCCCAACACAAAATATTTATGAGCAAAAAACCTGACAACTGTAAGAGAAGGGCATCTTTGGAGCACAGTTATTTGACATAAAAGATTATTGATTGGTCTAATTGAAAATGTTTTTTATTATAACAACTAAACTAAGGTCATTGACAGCTAAGATGTGTTCATAACAAAGACACTGAGTTAGCCAGAACAAAATCACATGACAAAAGATTAAACCCAAAAAGATCTGACTAAACCATTGTAGCTTTATGAGATTGGATTTTGAGCTTCCATTGTCTTATAAGAATATTAAAGAACGCACGATTTTGAACATGAACATAAAATAAATAAAATAAAATAAAAATACTAACTGTGGTCTTTGTCCTCGTCTGACAGCAATGAAGCTAAATTTCTCATCTTCAAAGCCACGTAACGGCTGACCACCCTTGGAACGCTATAAAAGTTCAAATAAGAAAAGGTAATATCAATATTAAAGCACTTACTTAAATCATAATGTACTAAATATTTCAAGAAGAAAGAGT